TTGTTACTGTATGGACTTCTCTTTGCATTCCCTTACATTTTTGTTTTGGGAAGTATGTCAAACAATACTATGGTTTAGAGCATCAAAGCTATATTAAAAGAAGTAGTGTAAGAAGTGTCTTTCCCTCCTGAACCTCTCCAATTCCATTTTGTGGACCATCTTCTTTCTTTGCTTTTTCTACCAACCCTTATCATTAAACAATCTTTTGTAGTTTCTGGTTTATCTTGTTGATATTACTTTTGCACAAATGAATAAATTCATGTATATTTTATTATATTCCCTTCTATCTTGTATGAAGGGCAGTAAAACACCATATAAACTCTTTTGTACTTGCTTTTTTTTTTCACTTAATAATTTGGGAAGAATCATTCCATATTAGTTTTTTATTCATCTCCCTTTTCATTTTTTACAGCTTCATAAATATTAAGTTGTGTGGGTATAGCATAGCTTATTCAACCACTTTCCTTTGTATGGGCATTTAGGTAGTTTCTGTTACTTTGCAGTATACTAGGTAGTCTAATACATAAACTTGGATTTATTTAACTCTAATTATGAAAGCTATATTTTCAAGGTAGATCCTACAAGTAGGATTTCTTCTTTATAATTAAGTGTGCCTGTGAATCTTTCAGCCAGTTTGTCAACTGTAGACTTACAGAAATGCCTATTAGTAGCTTAGTGTATATCCATCATCAGCATAGAAGTTACTGAGCTACGGTTCTTAATTTGTTTAAGTGTTTTAACTTAACTTTCTTTATTAATCACACTTAGTACACAAAAATCATGTTAAAATTGCATTGAAATTAAGAATTAGTCTTGCATAATTAATTTATCCTTTATCAAGTCTCAGTAAATAGCATTGTAATGTGTCAACAGGCCCTAATGAAGGCAGTAATCAGACATAGGTAATCTGCAGTCCTATCATCCAGATGCAGTCTCCAACTTCAGAATCATCAATTGAAAGTACATAGTTGAAGAACTCTAGCAGGGACATAATGACTAAGTACTTCTATAATGCTCTCATCTTCCCAGAACTTTTTATTTTTCAAAATTCTTTCAATTTCATACAAACTGTATGAAATCAAATTTTAATTCATACTAACAGCACTGCTAGGAAGGGAGTTGGGGAAATACTGAATAAATCATAGCATTTACTTAGTGAAAAGTTCCTTACATGTATTATCTCATTCAAACCTCAAACTAACCTCCCTTAGGCATACTGTATAGTTAACATCCCCATTGTCCAGATGAAAAAGCTGAGACTCAAAGAAGTTAAACATCATATTGATGTCAGACATCTACTTAATAGCATGATTAGAACTGAACTTGAATCTACACCCTGCTGTAGTTTTCATAGCCAGCTCATGAATAACAATGAAAAAAATCTCCAAAAGCATTAAGTATTTAGAGAAAGTTAAATTAGTGCTTTGTATATATTTTGTAAACAAAAGATTTCATTGGTCCTCTGGTACAGTTATAGTATAAATTCTTGGCTACCTTTAACCTGTAATTTAATTCCTAAATAGTGATACAAAAACAACATTCTGAACATGGCAACCTCCACTGCAACTCTGGAAGCCTTAAGGGCACAATTAGCACTGGCACTGCAGCCAGGCAATCTCAGTTTCTGCCCTGGTTCTGCCACTTTATTAGATTTGACCCTTATTGAGCTCTTTAACCTCAGTTTTCTTCTCTCTTAAGTGGGCATTGTTCTGTAGGGCCCCTTGGCAGTATTAGAAATAATTACATCAGACATATCTATGCTCACCCACCCCAAATCTAAATGTTATTTTTCTCTCCTATAGTGGTTAGTCTGATTCCTTCTCAACACTTTTCACAACTTAGAATTATATTTACTGTTACGTTTATTTGTTTCTCATGCATTTGTTCCACTAGAATGTAAGCTTCATGATATTAAGGGCTGCTTATTTTTGTTACTCTGTATCCCTTTTGCCTACCCCAGTATCATTAGTCATTGAATAAATATTTCTGGAATGAACCATGTACATAACTGTAAACTTGTTTTTATTTCAGCCCCTATAGAATGACCTACAGCTTCCTTGTCCTTTCTCATCTCTCTGTCTTTACAGTTGCTATTTCCACTGCCCATTATACTTGCCCTTGCTGCTTTGTTTCTCTGGAGAGCTCTAGCTCACCCTTGAAGACCTAGCCTGGCTCTTCTGTAAGGACCTCCTTGGTGAAGCTCCTTCCCTATTGAGTTAGAGGCTGTAGTAATTGGTGTATTCAATTAATGTTTTTCAGAAGCTACTCTGTACCAAGATGTGCTGGGTTCCGGGCACAAGAACAGGAGCCATCATTTTAATGTGAGAGATAGGCCATGAAAAAGTATGCAAATGAATAATAACATCCTTAATTGTAATAAATGACAGGATGAGAAGCTGACCTTTGATTTGAAATCTAAAAGGTGAAAAGGAATTAGAAAAAGGAAGAGGTGCAAGATCAGTGCTGTATTGTGACTGTTTACTGCCTCGTCTCTTTTCTACCCAACTCCACCTGCCATTCCCCACTCACCTCCACTTACCTAGACGCTGAGCTCTGTGAATTTCTGTACACCCAGTATCCGTCGAAGGCTCTCCATGTCACACCACAGTTCCAATCTGGGAAGTTACTAGAATCGCAAGGTGTCCGGCCCCAAGTTTCTGATTTAGTATTTCAGATGTACAGCTTGGGCCGAGAGCTACCTCCCAATGTAAAATCTACTCCCATGCTTGCTGTGTTGTGACAAGGGAATTACTCAGTATTTCTATCACTCAGTTTCCTGATCTTTAGAGTGGAAATACCAGCAAGACTTGATAGAGTTATTGTGAGAGTTAAATGAGGTAACATACCTGAAATTCTTAGCCCAAGGCCTGAGACATGGAAAATAGTCAATAAATTGTTATCGGAAATGGTTTAGGGCTCATGAGGTTTTGAATACATGAATGAGTTAAGGAATAATAGTTTAATTCTACTTTAGTAAGTAGAACTAGGTCAAAACAAAAACTGAGCACCCTGATTCATCTTTAGTTGTTTCATTTATTGTGTATTTTAATTTGGACAAGAAAAGAAAAAAGAAAGTACCAAACACCCATGATTGTAACATCCAAACTGTAGTACTATTGACCCTTTATTTGCTTATAAAGCAGACTTTGGAAGTTTTGCATATCAGTTGGTTCTCCTGTTTTTGGATACTTCAGGACTTTCGTATTCCAGTCTTAAACTTCAGTAAAAACTGTACACAATCTACCAACATTGGGTTCTCCTGAAATGTGTTTGGTCATCCTTTAAAACTCATGGTTTGAATGCTTTTTTTTTTGGTTTTTCTCCGGTACCAGGAACTGAACTCACGACCTTGCGCTTGCCAGGCAGGCGCTTTGGGTTTGAATGCTTTTTACTGAAAGAAATTTCTTTCACGTTTTTCCTACTTCATTAATCATAGGAGATCTTCAGGATATAACCAGTAAAAGTTATGACAATGCTAGGTGACTCAACAATTTTCTTAGGCCAGAGACACCAGTGGGATTAACCTGGGATATTGTTCCTACTACACAGAAATATTATTATGAACATCTCAACAAACCATTAGTAGTTGGCAAATTGTACTATGCCCCTGCCCACCTAGACAACCTTAAGTGCCAAAACAGCATGTGCAAGGATGAAAACATTAGCAAATTTGTGGCATGAGGAACTTAAAAAATAAATTCTTTCTCTATTGTGTTTTTACTGGAAAACTCCAGGATCATAACTGTTGTTTTTATAAACATTAAGTGTCTGAATCCTTGGCAGTACTTTGACACTGGAATGTAAGATGTAAGTTTTCTAGTAAAAAAAAATTTTTTTGAGGTAATTAGCAAAGAGATTTTGGCAAATGGTCTTTTCTGAGTCATTTTTATTTATGTAAGTAATTCATCCTGTTGTTCTTCTCAGTCCAGTCAGTATACTTTAGAAAATATTGTCGACCTTTAATGTTATAGAAATGAGCTTATGCAATCATAGAATAAATAATTAGCAAACAATTTTTTCATTCTTTTTCAATATTTGTGGCATTGTTTTCAAGGTTTTTGTTCACATACTAATGCACCATAAACTTATTCATGCTGGAAGTATTGAAATCTGTTTTTGTGCTTCATAAATGTACAAATATGCACATCTATCAAATGAGAAATCCATGGAAAAGCATTACATGCACTGATTGGTCACTGTGATGGGGTGAAGGATTAGGAAGTTCTTGCAGGGATAAGTAGTGTACATCAGAGATTACAGGAAAAGCACTTGTACTTTAGTAGTGGTGCAGTGCTAAATAGCCAAGAGCACTAGACATATTGCCATAGTACTGAGATGGCAGGCTTCATTTTATTTTAATAGAAGGAAGATTTCTGATGTGGTAAGGACATTCACCCTAACAAATGAATTCCCTCTCTTACACTATAGCATGGCACCAATTAAATCCAACTATATGCATAATAAACTCATAATTCCTAACAGCCCCCAAAAACACCAATATGAAAAATATTATGTATACTCTTACATTGTACCAGTCATAAACAGATGGAAAAAATTATGCTAATTGGTAAAGAAATTCAGTATAACACACCTCAAAATGGTGTTTACATGGATTTTTCTTTTAAAATATTATTAAAATTACTTTGGATAAAATTTAGTCAGTACTTAGGGTTTTTGTAATCCTACATCTGCAATACATTTTAATTTATTCCTCTTGCAAATATGGATATTTGAAAGTATAAGTAACCTTATAATGAGTAAAACTGATAAAAGGTTATATTGAATGAAAGAGACATTACAGAATGATTATTCAGTTTGTAAAGGGGTTTGTCATATGACAATCTTTCCTAAAGCATCTCAAATTTAATTTAGGTCATAAACCACTCATTTACACACAGCATTTCCTCATTTAGTGAGGAAATGAGAGACACCATCATAATAAAATAGATACCTTACATTGTTAACATTTATGCTCTTTTTCTGCCCTTCTCTCCTTGCAGCACTGATAGCCATTGGGCGATACAGCATGACAATAGAGACCGTGGATGTTGGATGGTGTAAAGAAATTACCGATCTAGGAGCCAGCATGATTGCACAAAGCAGCAAATCTCTGAGATACTTGGGGCTGATGAGATGCGATAAAGTAAGCATGGTCTATCAAGTTGTTTTCTCCATATCAGTATACTCATGGAGAGCTTGATATAATATTCTCTTTCCATCCCTTTCCCTGTCTTGACTTTCCCATGTGCTCTCTCTCTCTCTCTCTCCCTCTCCTTCCTCTCTCTCTCTCGCTCTATCTATCTATCTATATATTTATCTATATCTATCAGGATAGATAGATAGCCTGATTTTCTAATCTGAGATTATTTTTCATTTCTCTGTTTAGTAATAAATTTGGTGCTTAAGCAGAATGAAAAGGCAAATATATACACAGTCATCTAAGATTTTGGCATCCTCGTTGTAAGTCCATGGTCCAAAATTTAACAGGTTGCATAGCACACTGCAGTTTGCAAGGTCTAACAGTAAAATTCTATTCAGGATTTCGATTTTCCTGCAACAGTGAGGTGGAAAGAACATAATATTGTTTTTGTAAAGTGGATAATTTTGGTGCTCAGCATCTATGTGTTCTCAATATGTGGGGGCCAAGAAAAGACTGTCAAGGGAGGTGTGGGGGGTTTTGTGTCTCTCTACATGTCAGATGCCATGTAACAATTCTTGTGATCCCAGAGGTTCCACTGAAGGTCTGAGGAGCTGGCTAGGGATGTTAGCATAAATTTGGAATGTGTTCTTTCATTTAATGTGGAACCCTTTGAAGACTAAGAAAAAAGATAGTAAAATCTATATTGAATACCAGGCACTCGACAGTTGTTTTCTGCTTTGAGACCTCCATGTTCTCCCTGTAACAAATCTTAGTTATTTGTATTGTGAAGGTGAGAATACAGAGGCCTAAAAGTAGTCAGCGCTGAGTGAAGGTTGGAGAGCCAAGATGCTAGAAGTCTTCCCAGTGCTTCTGGTACAAGCCTGGGTCAGTCTCCAGCCACATGGCTGCCTCGTTGGGAAAGGCCCACCTCAGATACATGCTAAGAAACTGTTGGCATCTTATACCAATTTGCACATGTGTACTGTTTATGCAATGGTAATTTAGAAACAAATCTAGTAAAAAAGAAATGTGAAACTTAACACACATGCCTCTCAAAGTGCATTTGTTTTCTAAATTTAGCAAATTTGGGGGCAAATAGAAGAATGGCCCAAATCCCTTGTGTGCTTTGTCATCTTTGTTAATTGACCTAAGTCTGTGTGTTCTCCAAATGTTTTTAAATCCCAACTTGTTCTAGACCTTTGCCAGATAGTTGTGTTTTAGACATTTCATTAATTATTCTCAGCCCAGCCTGGAAAGCAAGAGCACTCAGACTCAGGGGTTACAAGTCTCATTCATATCTCGCTACTAAATAACCTAAAGTTGATACACACCCTGTCACTTTAAAATGACTTCTTTTAAAATGGGTTAAAAGGTGAACATTAGGCAGAGTGCTCTAAAAACACAAAACAATTACAGGCAGAGCTCCGCATCTTCCACCAGAAAAAGTGCTAACATCAGTGCTATCTAACCAAGGATACCAAAATGTATGCATACAAACATTCGTGTCCCCTGCCTTTCTCAGAAACCACTATATTTTTACCCCATTCTCTTTAGATTTGTTAAGATTAGCCCCACCTTCAGAGATGAATTAGAGAAGTTCTATGCTCTGTAAATACAGAAGATTATTCTAGACACATGGTTGACCAGAATTTTGCTGATTTCAAGTTAAGGAATGCAGATCCTTATTTACTCAAGGGCAAATTACTCCAAAATGGGATAGACTAGTCCATTTAGTACTATACCAGAAGATGCCAGGCCCAGCCTTGCTGCCTGGCTTCTGGAGCCTCAAGTCAGCTCAGATCCAAGCATGTGAGGTGCCATGAGGACAGAAGACCTTTCCAGACCACACACAAAGTGCAAGTGCAGCCTTGGACTAAAAGGCTTGCTTACCGCTTCAGTTGGATAGAAACTAGACCAAAGTAGTTATTCAGCTTTCAAATACTACATATGCCTTCCATCTCCAGATTTTAAATGATTACTGTATTTGAATAGAGAAGAAAAGAGGTTGGTAGTATAGTTACTTTCTCTGAAGCCAGAGTTTGGGTTCAAAATCTGGGCTGTGTACTTATTAGTTGTGTCATCTTGGGCAACACTCATTTCCTCATTTGTGAACTATAGTACCTATCCTATAAAATTGTGAGCATCGAATGAGTTAACATATGCAAAGCACTTAGAATAGTGTTTATCATACGTAAAATGTACTGCTTACTGATTATTCCTATCATTAATGTCATTAACCTGTTCTTTGATATTTGAATTTCCAAGTGAAAAAAATTGCATTGCCTGCTATCCCATTTTAAAGAAAAAGTGAATATAGTGGAAAAATTTAGAAAAAACTTTATATAATTTTCCCTCATCAAAATTTAAAATTGTTTACTATTGTCTTAACAAGGATATCAATAATTGCTCCTTCTGCACACTTTACCAAGGATTATGAATGCCTCGATGGAACATTATATATTCAAAATAAAGTTACTAACCATCTACTCACGCACCAAGATGGAGAAAGTTGTGCAGTGCTAAAAATTGGAAGTTGAGGAAAAGACCATTCAGATAAGGAGGAAAAGAGAAAGAAAATAAACTCAAAACTAATAATAGAACAAGAAACAGGAAAACTAGGATTAGGGTGTAGAGAAGATCCACTGTCTCAATCTGTAATCATCTGTGCCAAAAAGGCATTAAAGAACAAAATTAATTTGGGCTCTAACAGTCTTCTCCCTGAACCTTAACCAGATCTTCTAACCAGTAGTAAAACTCATTAGTTGAAGTTCTCTCCCCCTTTCTACATACCACTGGAGCCAGTGGAGGGGCAAAAGACCTCAGTAGCCACACAGTTAATCCCTGATCAAGAATGTGTCAGTGGGATCTCTGCTCTGGGGAGGGTTGGGTTGTACAGTCTATGTGTCCCTGCACTCAGGGTCTGTGACCTGTGGTTCTGAGAAATACTGAAGTCTAGGTGCATTTTCCTTCACATGCAGTAAATTTCACTTGGGCCCACTTTAATTTGGAGGCTATACTTTACAAATCTGCTTTTTTTGATCCCATTAAAATCATCATATTACAGATAACATGCATACCCATGTGTATAGCAGCGCAATTTATAATAGCTAGATCTTAGAAACCACTTATGTCCATCAACCGATGAATAAGCAAGGAAAATACGATATTTATACACAATGGAGTACTACTGTGCCATAAAGAAAGATAAACGAAGTATTTCTTGGCAACTGGATGCAGCTGAAGAAAATAATGTTAAGTGAAGTAATGTTAAATATTGAATGGTTTCTCATTCAACAATTTAAATATGTAATATAGAGAGAGAAAGAGAGAGAAGTAGAAGATAGAATAGTAGAAAGTAGGGAGAAGTTCAAATAGTTCCTCAAATTATCTCTTCCATTGCTTCACAAATATTTTAAGATACATGCTAATTGGATTCATTTATACTATTAATCTTTTTGTTCATTATAAGAAAGTTTTGTTCTTTCACTTATTTATTTCTCCTTTGTCTTTTTTCCTCTATGATTTTTCCACAGTATATTGACTGTTGTTTTTCTCTATTTTGTTATAAAATTTTGGTTTTTTTAATGGAAGTAGAGTTTTTTATTTTTATTAATATACACTTGTGTTACATTGAAAAAAATTTGAAACCTGCCTTTTTCCTGTGTCAGCTTTTGAGAAATAGCAAGAATAGCAAAATGTCTTTTTTATTTGTTGTGGAAAAAAGTGTTTTTCTTCTCCCACTCCTCAAGTAAGCAGAGAACAGATGAGAAACATTAAACATATTCTTTGCAGCTGAAAGCAACATGTACTTGGATTATCAAACAATGTCCAAGCTAAACTGCAGTAAATCTGTTTGGCTACAACATCACTGATTGCCAGGGAGGAATGCTCCAGTCATTCAACAAATTCTGTTCCCTATGCAGCTGTAAAGTTAGGAAGTGCAGTGCGAAGCCCTTGTTTGAGTAGCTTTTCCAATTGCTGGTTGGGTAAGCATGTTAGAGGGTTTTGAAGCTGATGCCACATAATCTCCCAAACTTTAGTGCATTGTAAAAAACCAAGAGAAGAAAACGCTGTGTGAGACGGCTTTGATGAAGTGGGGTGAGCTTATAGTCTTAAAGACTGTTCAAAGGCTTACTTGACCTTGGGAATTAGAGTTGACCCGAAATCACCTATCAACTTAGCTCACATTTATTTAGTGATTTAGTTAAAAAAGGAAAGCTTGTGTGTAATCAATGGGGCTCTCTAATAAGAGCAATATGGAAACTCTGGTTTCCACAATTATCAACAGTGACTTTGGTCGTAGAAATTGTTTTCACAACTTTAGTGAATTCTAGACTCTCTATGGATTTTCCTTATTTCTTACAAGGCAGTTTGAATGGAGAACAAAACCGAAAAGGACAAAAAATTCTTGGGAAAGCAGTAGGGCAAAGTGAAATGCAATGCTCAAGGTTAATAAAAAATGTTGGGGTAAGGCTGATGAGAAGGGAGGGAGCACAGGAGCACAGCACTGGCTGAGAAAGCAGCCCTCGCCAGAGGCGGCCTGGCTGGCTTGGGAAACCTCCGCAGTGTGTGTTAATACTGAAGTTTGGAGACACAGAGCCTGAATTATGAGCAGTGAATAACATCGTAAACGTAGCAATGCTCAAATGCCAAACCCTTGTGAAAAGCAGTTGGATGGAGAAATGCTCGAGCTTTTAAAAGCTCCCTTTCACTTTCAATTTTTTTTTAACTTCATGCAGAACTAATTTTATACACTGTTCATTTGATTTGAAAATGCCAGCGTCTGGGGTATCATTAAAGAGCGTTATTGAGGGAGCCACTCTTGGCAGGGATCTGGCTTAAATCCTTAGTTTTTACGTCCCTACATAGTTGTAGATGAGGAGAAAGTGTACCTCAGTTTACCCAAAGACACCCCTCCACATTGACCCTAAGCAGGTAACAGCCCTTTGCTGGGAGCTTCTACTCTTTGGCCAGTAGGGGCGCTAGGTGGGCCGTGGGGGCTC